TCCCCGTAAACATCTGCGGGCCCAACTCATTATCCTCTTTCAAAATCCTCCTCAAAACTCTCCTTGTAGACTGCTATGTCTACAAAAAAAAAAGGCCTGACAGCAGTTAAACCACCGGGTTCCTGAGATCACTGCCTCTCGTGGTCGCCTGGGTCGTCGCGGTGTCTCCTTTTACTCCCCCATCTGTCTGTCTGTCTGTCTAGCCCCTTGGCGCCAGCTCTCTTAGACTCGGGGTGCAAGCTCTTTGAGGCTCGCGCCCTCTCTTCGCACGGCGCGGCGTCGTGCCGGGACCGGCATTAAGAGGTGGCCAAGTCGCTGTGGGGCGGTCGCGCTTGTGCAGCGTGGTGTGCGCTGAGCCGTCCGACATCCACGCCGTCCTCCTCGCCCCCTTCGGGCTTGCGATCCTGGTTGTCCCCTGCCGGTGACCACCAGCCTGCTCGCCTCCAGCGGGAAGTGTGGTGGGAGCGCGCTTTTTTTAATTTTAATTAAGCAGATATTTGCTGGGGCAGTGGCAGCGGTGAACGGTTTAGGTGAGTAGGACGCGATGACCCATGCGATACGGGAGAAGGCAACTGGAGTGCAGTCTTCTGCTGGGGGTGGGACGAGGGGGTTTCACACACGTTTTTCCCCCTCTCTGGGCTGGGAAGAAAATTTGGCCCCGCGCTGCCTTCTGGGGTGAATATCTCCTCTGGGAAGAGGAGATATTTGTGCTTTGACATTCCCATCCTACCGTCTCGCACCTCTACGGGAACATATTGATATTTGTGATGGCGAGCAGCAAGCTGGTTCCTTGATTGTGGGCACTTTAAAGTAATTGGTGCAAATATTTGAAATCCTAGATGGAAAAAATGCGGAAAATAATCCCGTTTCTCTCGTGCGTATCTCCTTCCTGACATCTCAAATAGGGGCAACACTTAGAAAGGCATCCAAAAATCAAGTTGAAAATGGATTGCTTACCCATGTTTCTTGAACAGATAATTTTGCTGGCACATTATTATTCACCCTCTGCTATTTTCACACTGTGACACAAAACTAGAGAGAAGAAGAGATTGAAATTTTGACCGGTACGTTATCCTGATACCTGACACGCTGTGTCGATATGAGAGTGTCTTTACCACAAGGACTTTCTTGGTGGTTTTACAGATCCCAGTGTGAATAAGTAGAAAAAGCAGAACTAATAACTCAAGAAGCAAAAATATTTTTTTCTTAAAGAAATTGATTAACATGCGAATATGTACTGTATGCATATTAAATATCATTTCAAAATGTGATGGGCAGGAAGCATAAGTGATGCCATTTGGTTTTGTGGCATCAGTGTGGGTTGATTAAGGGGGTGGGGATAAATTTTGGGGATTATTGATATAGCATGAGTAGAGCCAGATGGTTGTATTACACATCTTTTGTGTTCTTGTTTGCTTCTTAAAGCAGTTGCAGAATTTTGCCCTGGGCAAAATTTACTCTTTGCTCGTATGTTCCCCTGTGAATTTACTTTTGACAAAGTACTTCACAAAGAAGGGAAACACTGTGCTTTGCGCCCGCAAACTTCTCTTTCCTTTGCATTTGTGAAGTTAACAGCCCTGTACTTATAAAATATTTTGTAACTTGTGAAATAAATTAGCAGTAGGTGCAAGTTCAGTGTGCGTGTGTTGTGTATTGCTCCCCCTCTGTATGTGATATTGATTTGCAGTGCGTGTCATTTTTTAAATTTTCCTTGCAGTGTTTTGGAGAAGAAAGTGTGGAAATGGCAACCAGTTCATTTTAATGCACTAGTTCTGTAGTAGTCTTCCATTAAAGAAATGTTGTCTTAAAGATTAATGAGCTAATTTTTCCACTACTTTTTTTAAGTTTTGAGATTGTGGTGTACCTGATTCATGTTATCAAAAACACATACTTTGTGGTATTCAAGTTGAGTGGGAGAAGGTTGTGATAGGTAGGTGGTTCTTAACTGGGTGTTTGTGACGTTTGTTGGAACTGCTTATCACCGGAACCACCAAAATTTACATATATTTGTTATTTCCCTTTGAAAGCAAATTATGCTTTATTTCCCATAAAAAAGATGAGTTGTTGTAAAAGCTTTGCAAGTAAGATTTTAAATCACACTTGTGCCTCGCGCCGGCGTAGCTCCATTGACTCAGCTGGGTTTACTCTTCCTTTACATCACTGCAGGCCTCTGCATGATGAGGTCCCTCTGCGTTTATCAGCTATAGTGGAAACAACTGGTGATTGCGAATATGTTGTGTCCGCTGGTTTCCCCAGACTCCAAGCAGGAGCTTTGATCCCATTTTTGGGAACCTTGCTGTGAAAGCGGAAAACAAGCTGCCCTAGCCCAGCTGAAACCTCCGACTAGCGTAGTCGCGAGCCTGAAGCTGAAGCGACTTAGTTGTAATAATGATGCCATTGTGCTCATCCTATCTGATCCGTTCTTGAAATGTTTTAGTAAGTCTATCTTACAGCATTATAAGAAGATAATCAGCTGCCTTAGAAGGTCCCCATCTGGAGTATAGAGTTCTTTTACTGAAAGATGTTTTGCCTTTCCGAGATAGCTCTCGCATTTCATCATCTGTTGTGCAGAGATGAAGTGCATATGAAAAGTCAGTGACTCTGAATCCATCTGTTGTTATTATTTTCCACTGATAATTGGCTTGAACAATGAAATGTCTGTGTCTGTAGCCTTTGAAACTGTACACCCTGTTTATTTTCTGGAGGTCTCGCTCCGCTCTCACCCCCCCTCCCCCCATTTTTTTGTTTTGTTTTATTTTATTGTTTTGTTTTGTTTCTTTTTCCCTCAAGCCTATAACTAGTGGAGCTTGCATGAAGATGACATCTTTGACTCTGCATCAGTATGTGTCACGCAGCGTCTGAGGCTTGCCTGCCGATTTTTGTCAGGGTCCTGTGTCTGCTGTGTCTAAGCGTAGAGCAGTCTTACAGCAGGAAGACTGGCAGGTCCAGAATTCATAGCTATCTTACCAGAAATGTAGTATTTATTTCACTTTCTCTTTTAAAATATTAATTTAGAGTCCAGTATCTAATACCTATGGAATTAGATACTACCAATAATTGTATAATATATTCAGTTGCATCCAGTTTAGCACGATGCAGGGTATTAATATTGGATTCCACTAACAGCAGTTCCATTAGCTTGCTCAACCAGTATGAGATATATATGAGCAGGGAGGCATAACTACCAGCCAGAACTGCCAAAACAGTCATTAGAAGCTCCATTGGGATGGACAAAGGCTTTTACACAGTGATATACTGATTAAATTTTGTTCTATGGTTTATTTGCATCAAGGTTAGATCACTATCATCTGTGTGAACCGTATTATCTAACACCTTATTTGGAAGGTCATTTCAATGCAAAAATAGTGAATGATATCGGGGCTCTAAAATTTCTCGCAGGACTCTTTCGTGGAGGCTTTTTATCCGGTTAGGCTCGACTAGCTCGTGTTAGCAATTTTTATTGTGCTCTAACGCTATGGGTTTATCCAAGGAAAAGTAAAAACTCCCTCCGCTCTACACGAGTGCTTAGCTGAACTGCACGTGTTTGCATCTCATTAAAACCGTTGGCTGTATCCAGCATCCTTTGAAATAATGTGTGGCACGTGCTGGAGAAGCCAGTAAGTACGCCTTGCACCTTTTAAAGCCCGCAGGTTCCTGCGTCCGTCTGCGCGTGCCGGTGCGCCCGCGTACGGGGTCCTCCAGAGCGAAACGTCGGTGCAGCGCGCTCTCCTCCGGCCCGCGTTACGCTGTAGTCTGCAGCCCAAGACAGTAAGGCAGAGGAGTATAATCTTATTTATGTTTCAATAGCAATCATGTAATACTGCCAGTTATTAAAAAAAAAATTAAATTACCAAAACCAACATGTAGCTAAGACTTACAATAAGAGGTCAATGTGATTGGACTCCTTAAGGTAGGGAGGGACACGCGTGAATTCCAATCGCTTCAAAATTTTGCTTCTCGGTTCCATTTCTGGGGTGGAAGGGCAAACGAGACGGAAACATAATTTATTTCTCTAGAAGCAAGAATAAATCACGGTATATAATTATGTGTATTTAATTATAATAGTAAACGCTTAGAGGTGCTTGGTGGTTATCACGGTCTCTAATTTAGTTGTTTTTGGAAGTAAATATAGTTTGGAGGGGACGTTTTATGCGGAAAAGATTTTGGAAATACCGTTTTTGAGGGAGAGTTCAGAAATTTCTTCCCTTTCCCCAAATAAACTAGTAAAGAGGCTTGCGTTAACCAGTGATTCATTAGAGCTATAATAGGTTTGCGTGCGGCACGTCTTTTGTATAGTAAACAAGACGTAGGGGCAGCACAGGCAGGTTCAGGTTTGGCATGGCAGCTCAAGCAAAAGTCCCTGCGTTAATTTTGCATCCTCGTTAGGAAAGACCGGGCTGGAAGCGTAATGGATGTGTGCGCTGCGGCGAGCGGAAATGAGTTTTTACAGGTGGTGGCTGGTGTGTTTGCGCGGTGGCAAGCTGGGCGGCTGAGCCAGAGCGGGCACCGCGCGCGACTGCGTGGGTTTTTTTTTGTTGTTGGTTTTTTTTTTGTTTTATTTTTATTTTTTGGCCAGAGCGATTCCTAGATGAGAGCTGCGCGTTTGGCCCCGAGCTGTCGGGGCTGTTGTTATTTACCGATCGGCGAGCGGAGGAGCGTTCGGCTCGACGCTCGGATGCGGTTTTGTCGCTCCTACCCCCTTAAACAAGCTGTGCAGCTCGTGGGAGAGCAGGACAGGTAGAAGGCGCAGCAGGCGTCTGATTTGAGCCAGTTACTCATTTGCTGAGTGTTTGTGTTTATGCAAAGGGGCCTCTTCCTGCATATTTAATCTAGAGTAAGGCAGTGGCTTTTGTTGTGTTTAGACCACATACCTTCAGTCCTTCCTTACGCTGCAGCCCGCGTCGAAGCGCAGGGAGGCTGGATAGTCCAAAGTGCTCTAGTGCTTGCAAACTCTCAACTTTCTGCAGTTGCTTGGGAATTGCTGTGCAGCGTCTAAGCCTTTTGCTTCCTCCTTCATGGGTAAGTTTGTACGGCGGTAGCGGGCGAGACTTTTGTTTCTGTTCCATTTTAGAAATGCACAAAGCGTTTTGGTTGTTTGCTGTTGGTCGTCCAGACCTCCTGGTCCGTTTAGGGAGTTTGTGGCAGGGAATTAGGTCAGGAACACAGGTGGTTCTGGAATATACTTCTGAATAAAGTCCTAAATGCCGTATCGCAGTGGGCAGGTATTTGCGGGGGG